GTGGCGAGCCGCGGCGGCGTGCGTGTTGGCCGGGGTGGAAACGCGCTCTGGCTGAGACTCGGAGCACGCGTGTAAAATTTCAGGCCGATTGGAGCACAGACACAGTGCGTCTTCTGGTGTTTTATGGCGTTGTGGCCAAATTCAGGGGGGCGCCATTTCCACGCCGTCACACTTGTGCGGATCGTTTTACTAACATGTAATCACCACCTCCTGTAGTTTGTGCTGGCCATATTTCAGGTGTGTACGACCTTCCCTGTAGGAGGAGATAGATTGTGAAAATGGTCAAAAATGGCCAAAAGTCAGGCAACATTACCAAAATTGTCACCAGGGTTTTTCAACATAACAGACTTCCTGTTGAGGTTAGGGCTTGGTGCTGATTGACTTCTTTGTGCGTCCTGACCTGCTACACATGCCCAGCGAATCTTGTCAGTGTAGGTGAAACGACCTTGTGACTAGAGTCAGTTGAATGCAAAAAACACAGCGAAAATGGACAAAATGGCCATTGATCGAAATTGCATGGGTCGGCATTTCCAAACCGGGCCTCATCTGCGAAGTGTTTGAAAAACGTTTAGACACCACGTCATGTAGTTTGTGATCACCAAATTTCAGGTGTGTACGATGAACCTCCTTGGAGGAGTTCGATTTAGAAAATGGCCAAAAATGGCCATTTTTGAGCAAAAATGGCCCGGCCTGACTTTTTTTATTCATCCTGACCTGCTCTATATGCCTACAAAATTGCGTAGCTCTAGGCCAAATGTGCTTTTGACAATTTAGAAGGTGGCGCTGTGGAGCAATTTTTCTATTGACGTGTGTATTGTTCTTCCAAATAATAAAATTTTTCACCGGGTCTGATGTACATGGCAATTTTGGTGAGTTTTCGAGTATGTTTAGGGCCTCAAAAACGTGTGTCTTTGGCACGAATGATAATAATAATCCGAGCAGTTCCAATAGGGTCTTCGCACCCTTTTGGGTGCTCGGACCCTAATAAATGACCTGATATAAAACTATCCTCATATTTCATCTACATGACAGAGCGACTTGTTCTAATGTCAGTCCAGCGTTTGTTTTGTTAACATGTTGAGACTTTGCCATAATACTGAGAAACAACAAGAGTCAATAATTCAACATCCACTTTTTTTTATTTTTCTTATAAAAACGTAGACCTTGTGGACAGACCAGTTCACAAAAAAAAAAAAAGAAAAGAAACTAAATCTAAATATTCGGACTCTTTGAAAACAGCATCACGACGTGGAGTCCTTTACCTAGATTCACTTTCATACGTACAATTCAAACATCTTTGTTCCTTTAAAAACACAGTAAAACGTGCCTCTTCGTCTTCCTAAGGAGCGTGAGGAACAAACAGCCTTTACAAATGAACCGTGAAAGAACCAAAAAAAAAAAAAAAGCACAATGCCAAAAAGAAAACAAAAATACAAACAAAAGTATTTCCAACGGGAAACAAGTCGATTTTAAAGCATAATGCTACAAATACATTCTTTTCCCAGCAGAGACAAACAAAAACAATTAAATAAGCACTTTGGTCTTCCTCCTCAAACACACTGAAGATGATTATGCTAGCATTTTGATGAATGAAGCTTGTTTCGGGCAGCAGAATGCTAACTCATGAACGGAGGCGAAGATTTCTGTCAGCGTTTACTCTTATTGTAAGATGCTGTCTGTGGGCATCTGAGCTTCACGTACCGCGTTGAATCAGAGGATTGTGGAAATTTGTAAGTTCTGAGCTAGCATTCGCTTTAACGCCAAACACACACACACACACACAACCTTCTCACACAAGTGAGGTACAAAGAAAAACAAAATCTCTGAACATTTTGACATTGAAACAAGATGTAACGTCTTCTCTTCCGTTTAAAGTCTGTTTTTAAAGTGCATATCTTCATCCACGGACAGACACGTTTTCACTGCAGAAACCTGTGACAGACGGGAGCTAAAGGACTTCACTGAAATGTCATGCACACAAATCTACCATCTTTAAGTAGCTCTGGGGGGAGTTTGATATCATATCTTATAAAAAAATCCAAAGAGTATCTAAACTGGCTGAATAAATGGAGCTAGTAATCTATTACTCAGACAAAACCAGTACTTCTGCGTCTCAAAAGTGAGAGGTTACAGCTGAAGTCATCAGTTCTCGTTGACGAACTGGAGAATTAAATAACAGCATCTCTCTCAGACTTTCAGTTTGAGAAAAAAATAAAACTCTGTGTCAATTTCCACAGAAGTCAAAAGGAGAAACGGAGCTGAAAGCAAAAACAGTTTTAAAAACGACGTGTCCTAACATGCAGCGACGAGGACAGTCAGAGGTCTGCAGCGAACAAAGGTTATAACGGATGTTATATGAAATTAAAAAGTAACTATCTACACGTGTATTGCTGGAAAATACTGTTGACGGGTGATAAAATCATTAAAAAGTGAATAAAAAGCGACCTGTTCTACGTCATGCTGACTGCAGTAAATCTTTCTTCCAACCTTGTTTCCTACACACAGTTCGGTGTTTGTGAAATGTTTACGCACCAGTTGTTGTAAATGTCACCTGTTTGTTTCCATGATGATTGTTTCTTTGCAGTGCTGATGTCTACGGCTGCCCGGTGAGAACTACATAAAGCAACAACGTTCTCAGATAAGTCAGAAAGTGTACCTGCAGAACCGTTGTGTTAACATCCATCAACAGATATGTAACATTTGAAAGGTTCACACCTGGGAGCTGGTAAAAGTAGAAAATAGTTGTCAATGATCTTTGCCAGACATTCCTGTTGGTGGACCATGAAGGTGTCCCAGTCTGATCCCAACATCCTCATTGATTTAAAGCATTTACTGCATCCTCTCAGAATGTGTCTGAACTCTTACAACTAAAGCATCAGGTCGGAATAAAACTAGAAACCGATTCTGACAAATTCCAACTCATCTGATTGTTGGAAGAGAAACCACTGTGTGTACTGGAAAACAGGTTTTTAAAGTCTTGAAACTCACTCGACGTATAAATAAGAACTTTCAGTTTAAGCGAATAAAAACACAAAAAATTACAACAAAAGGATTTTTGCCTCATCAGCATCTCAATACTTTGCCTTCAGACTGGTGAATGCAGCTGAGAACCTAAACCGTTAACAAGAATAATTTATGCTCATAATAATACTTTTTGTAGACAGGTAAAATATAGTCTCGTGTCACAGACCACAAAAATGAAACAAACTAGAATTCAAATAAACCCTAAGTTAAAAACACTGAGTGGGTAAATAAATAGGTTGTGAAATTGCACAAAGTGGGAACGTTGAAGGTCAAAGCACTCTGATATGTTGAGACTGACGTTCAGTCTTTCAGTGAGTCAGTCAGTGAGAGTGGAGAGTCGACGCCGCCGCTTCTCGGTTCACTGTCATGATTTGATCTTCCACAGCTGTGAACGAGAGCAAACAGGAGAACACAATTACACAACGTCTACAGTTTTACTAGAAAATGTATGAAAAATAAAATTAACTGTGATGTAGGTGAAGCCAGTTATTTACTACTTTATGTGATTGTTTCTAGTAAAAACCCCAATATGTCATTGCACAATGATGCAACAAACTCTGCAGTACCATAAAGTACTGTAACAGTGACTTTCCACTTCAGATTTCGAGGATTTTCCTGTCAGTGTTTAGTCACACTGAAGAGTTGCTGCTGACTGGACAACGCAGTGACTCAGCCAAAGCTACTGTGCTGGAGCATAAGTTCTCTTTAGTCATGAAGATTAAAATAGTTTACTGTTAAACTGTGAGGTGTTGAATCGTAGTTTATTATAAATCACTAATATTCAATTGTAGAATTTACCACTAATACAAACTGCATCGTTCACACCTTCTCAGAACAGTTTAACTAAAAACTCAGCATTATAACCACCATGAAGGAGGATTTGTTTGTAGTTTGAAGAGGTAAACATATTTGCACCACACACTCCTGGCTTATACAGCACTTCACTGAGACAGTTTCTACTCAGAGCAACAGTCTGTATGGTGCAGCAGAAACCACCTGGATGTCTGATTAAATCTTCTGGGTCTCAATTTCCTTGAACTGCAACATTTAGCTGTTTTAAAGCAGCAAAACATCAGAGAAATGGAGCCGTAGTAGCAAAAGTTTGGTGATATTTAAAACACAAGCTATTGCAGTGAAATCAACTGTTGCACCACTCAACCCTCCTCTGTTATGGTACAACCTGGTCCAGTGAAGGAACAGATTGGTGCTCAGTCAGTCGTCAGACAGAAGTGAATGGAACAAACACATTACTAGCTAATGGATGTTGTTCAACAGAGAGCAGCAGCAGCAGCTGTTACCTTCAGGTTAAATCCTAACAGGTCAGATATGACTCCCGACACGGCGGACAGGATGACCACCTGGGTGATGTTGTAGAGCAGAGGGTTCATAGTCAAACCGTACAACCTGAACGGAGTATCCAGCTCCTGCACAGGAACACAAACAGCAGTGAGATGAGAAGTTCAGTAAAGGAGATGCAGCAGGAGAAGCAGCGGTGAAGGCAGACGGTCGGTACCTTGAGTAGTTTGGTGGCCAGTTTTAAGACGTTGTTGACCAGTGTCAGCTCCTCCTTCTTGTTTGGCTTCTTCTCCATCTTCAGATACAGGTTGATCTGTGACACACACCATGGATCAGTGTTTGAAGGCCTGTCTGTGTGTGTGTGTCCATGTGTGTGTTATCTGTGTGTGTGTGTGTTCACCTGTTCAGTGAGCAGTATGGAGGTGTTGCTGTACTTCTTGCTGGTCTCTGAGCCCAGAGTGACGAACCTGAGCAGGAACAGCGACAGACTGGAGCACCAGATCACCAGCTCCCAGTTATAGTGACACTCCAGGAACGTTTCGTGGACGTGAAGCAGCTGGAGGGAGAGAGGCGCGTACGTCGTTCAGTTTCCTAACAAAATCTGGTGTGCAGTCTGTTAAAAACTAAATAAGGGCTAACATAGATTGATACTAGTTTCATTAAAAAAACAAAACAAAACTGAAGTTTCTTCAAGCTGCTCCATGAGGTCATTAGCATCAGACAACCAACCAACCAGTGACTGCCTTGATGAGAGGACCAACCAGTGGCTTCCTCAACTGAATCTGGCTCAAGTGACTGTAACTAAAACTAAATGCATCCAACTGTACGTGCTGTTTTACTGGCCCATTGAACTACTAGTTGCAAAATGCATTGTTAGTGAAATGAAGAGGCCCAGATAGTTGCACAGTTCAGTGCTCTGCTGCTCTCACTGATCACTGTTTATATTACAGGTACAGTTCAGCTGTTCTCACTTCCTGTTTGCTGTCACATGACCGACTGAAGGAGCAGAAAATTACAGCTCATAAATGCTACCTGTTAGCAAGATGCTCCTAAAGTCGCCATTTTATAGGAATTCAGATTCATCCAAGCTTGGTGCATTTCCTATTAATGTCGCTTTTTACTCTTCAGCTCTGTTGTCGAGATTCTGGGATGTGAGGAGTCACACAAAACAGCTTGTGTTTGCTGTTTAGTGAGATAATTTAGTTACTTAAAGCTTTCCAAACAAAGCAGACTTATTTTTCATGAAAGCATTTTAAACATTTGTTTTCAGTTTGACCAAAGGACACATGGTCAGAACTTCATTAACCACATCCAGGTAGAAATGTTGCTAATTTAGTCAAGTCTCTGTTTCAGGTGGATCATTTTTTCCTTGAATCTTTACAACATGACCCTTAAAGCCACATTAATGGAGATACATGAGATTAAACTACACCGGGGTTCTCCTTTAACGTGGTTGGTTACGTACCTGGGCGCAGCAGATGAAGACGACAGACAAAGTGAGCAGGAAGGCGGACGACACAATGACATCCACTGAACGCTGAGGACCCCGTCTCTGCACATTCAACAGGACACAACTTCAGTTTTCATTTTGCTGACCACGTATTCAGAGAAATTGGTAAACAAACTAAATAATTTACTGAATGTATTTCCAGTGAGAGGCTGCTGTACCTTGAGGTAGGAGCGTAGCGACAGCCACATTTTGATGTTCTGAACTTTCTTCAGTCTAAAATGTGGGACTTCAGACTTCCTGGCTCTGCGGGCCGAAGTCAGGTGACCGAACAGTTTGGCAAACAGCAGCCTCTGAAACACACACCAGCATAAATGACTGTTAGAACAAGCTTCACTGTACATTGAAGTGAAAATTAAAAATGATCTCCAACATCTAGAGCCATTGGTCAGGTTTTCTCACCTGTTTGTAGGTCCTCTCCGCTACGCTGAGCAGGAAGAAGAAGAGCCATATAAGGCAAACGCGCACCAGGAAGCTGAGCGTTACCATGGTGATCACCAAGCCATCTGACCCACAGCCGCCTCCCAGCGCCACAGACAGCAGCTCATTGGCCGAGAGCGTCGTCAGCTGATCCAAATCACGGTACTGAGCCAGCCTGAAGCAGAGACGAAAAAAAGGAGAAAAATTGTAACATCGAAAACATGTCAATAAACCTTTTCCTATTTCTGTGAAATGTTTTTTGTTTTGCCTGATTTTATTCTCTCTCATCTGTGAGAAAGGAAGAACTACAGCAAGCTGTTTGAACTTTATTCAGACCACACTCCTGTGTGTAAGAACCTTTCAGATGTCCACAGAGTCATTCCTACTCTAACAAATACAATTACTATCAGGCTTTTAGATATCAATGGTGAAATCCTTACAACAAAAAAAACACCCATGTTAGACTTCATACATACAGTTGAAACCAGAAGTTGACATACACTGTATAAAAAGACATATAACGTTTTTTTTCCTCACTATCTGACATCAAATGTGACTAAACATTTCCTGTTTTAGGTCAGTTAGGATTACCAAAATTATTTCTATTTGCTAAACACCATAGAAAAAAAAAAGCTCATGTGTCCTTTTATACAGTGTATGTAAACTTCTGGTTATAACTGTACGCAGAGTATTTGCATTTGCATTGTTACTCGTCATACTTCTAATTGTGGAGACGATTTTTACTCGCGACATTGCTTTTGGATATTCAAAATTACATTACTAATAATAGAAACTGTTTTTCATTTTGAATATCGGACATTAAAACGAGGACTGGTAGATGTCCAAGTGGGGAATTTTTCTTGTTAAACATTCTGTTGCAGAGACACTAATGTAGCTCTGCAGCTAAATTAAACACAAAAGACAACACTGACAATATTTGTTGTAGGTGGAACGAAGTTGTTTTCACATGAAATAATCATTTTTGATCAGAAAGAATCTGCAGTACCTGTAAGCGAAGGGAGTGAGTCCGAGTGTTACTGAAACCAGGTTCCCAAAGACCTGGTACCCGATACCAGGAGTGTAAAGATTCACCTGTACAAAGAGACAGAGCGATTAGTGGTTCATTCATTAGAGCTTTAGTCCTTCAGTTTGTTTCACAGCCACAGAAAGTGTAACTCACTCTGTTCATGATCATGCCGCTGATCTCCAGCACTGACATGTCAGCCTTCTTACACTCGTTCCCCTCCCACACGATGGCGCTCACTCTCTCCAGGCCGGGGTTGGAGCTGTGCAGCCAGGGAACGTGACCCTGCAGAACAAGATGTACATGAACACAGACCTCTGATCACAACCTCAGAGGTGAGAAATAACCCCCAGTAAGAAATCTGATGTCTTCATGATCTGCAGGTCAGAAGATGTGTGGATTCACATGGAGCTAAACTTCTAACTATTCTTTCATCAGCATTTATATGACTTAAGTTGAATATGGCCACTTAAATGCTGAAATACGGGGTGTAGCCTCGACATCTAAAAGGAAAACAAAAAACAACTGTAAAAATAGAATTATCTGACTTTTGTGATGTGCTGTTCCATCAGGAAGCATGAACAAATGTAAGTGTTAAATCATCAGACTTCATCAAAATCACTGTTTTCTACATGCCTCTTTTAAAAATTTTGCCAAAAACAAACCAGATTCTGAAAAAAAACAACAACAAAAAACTAAAAACTTGGTGTAACAGTGAAGCCATTAATGACTCAGCTACAAAAACGTAGGACTGAAGTACAGGAGGCACAGAGCAGCAAAAAGACAAGTCTGGACACAAATGAAAAACTAAGTCGTAAAATATCTACAGTATGTTGAGTCACCCTTGTTTCCAGAACTGGTACCACCTGTGGGGACTTGTACATGATGATTTGAGTTTTTTTTTTCAAATTCTTGTAAAATAAATTGAAGTAATTAACTTTGTTTTCTGTGTGATTTATGGCATAATAACTGTATTACTGCTTATGGGGCAGGGTTGAGCTCTCTGCCAGGGTGTGATGTGTACATAGAGGTGCAGGACTTTATATTAGAGTAAAAAATGAACCCACACTAAATAAGAATGTGATAAGAGCAGAAAACGCCAAAAAACTAAAGTTCAGAGACTTAAACTAGATTCCTGTGACAAGTGAAAGTTGCAAACTCAAAAACAAAAAGAGGCTTTCCAGACCTGATGGAAAGGGTCGTCTCTGTATTCCTTCTTAGCAGGAGGACAGACGGGTGTTCCTCCTCCTTCTCCCTCTGCAAAGCAAAGGAGTAACAGTATTAATTTACATACACTGACCCACAGATGTCATTTATGTTTGAACAAAGACTCTTCATTAATCACTTCAGCTGGTAACCTGAGCTACATGTAAACAGTGCGTCTGTGTATATTTGCTCCTATTCAGTGTTCCTCTCTGACCTGTTTCTGAGGTGCAGGACGACCTGCACTCTGCACAGTGCAGGAAGTCTTCCCACATCAGGTCCTCGGTCTCTGACTCGTGTCGAGTGCTCTCTGAGTCTTGTGTCCTCAGACTTGAACATCTGGAGCTACAGCTGGTGCCTGACTTGGGGACATCCTGAGACACAGAATGGATGATTGGTATTTTGTGAAAACTATGAAACAACAATATGTGTTAGAGCTCTTGAATGTGCTTATTTACCTCCACAGCGTAGTGTTTCTTGTAATGGTGGGAACTCTTGCGGTTTCGAAGCGCACAGTCACTGTTCATTCTCTCGACACCCCTGCGGAGGGCGCTGTAGGAAGCTTCAGGGTCCTCCTCGCTGGACGCCTCATCGGACGCAGGGTCCTTAGAGACAAAAAAAGATGAATCAGTCGAGTCCACATGCTTTTTTTCAGTCCAATCACCTACTCTGATCATGAACAAAGAGTAAACAGTATTACAGTTAAATAAACTGATAAATAAGTCAGTAATTGATTGATCACCTTGTTGCCGCTGGCCAGCATCAGTCCTGAGCTTCGTCCTGTGTGAGCGTGTGCAGGCTGAATGTGGGAGTTCCAGCAAACCTCATCAGCCCTGTTCAACAAATCACATCGCTGCTCGTGGAGCTGAAGACCCTCCTCACTGCTGCGATTGGTCACCCGGCCGTCCAGCGACACGTAGCCGTTGTCCGTCTCCGTTGATTTGTCGATGGAGAGCTTGGACTTCTTAGATCTTTAGGAGGAAGTGGAGGAAGAAAAGGCGAGGCAGGAGATCGATGGAGAAAGACATATAGGAGGAGAGACGTTTAGATAAAGAGAGACAGCAGGGCGGTGAATTTACTAATAATTTTAGTCTCAAATGCTGACATGCAGTGAGTTAAATCACAGGAGCAGGCAGTCAACACAACACTGTGGAACATTCATGCAAAATGAGCATCACTATGGGTGAGGAAGTGTTGCAGACATGATGTACTGCACCAAACATTCAAGCACAGATGCAAGTTATTTCCTTAACTGACAGTCAGTTGTGTGACGATCAGTAACACATTAATGGTTGAAATGAATGAAAGACGGTGGACGTTTTTCCATATTCTGATACAACTGTTTTAAACCACTGATGCTTAATGTTTGTCCTAAAATCTGCTCGGTTACATCAGGAGTAAAAGTAAACACCAGGTTACTTCAAATACAAATAAGTAGCAAAATTACTAGCAAAAAAAATCTGCTTAAAATTTGCTGTTTAGCGATTGGACCGACAAAATCCAAAGTATTAAACACAGCAGACGAGCTGCAGTAAATAACAGTAAACAACCTGTAACATTATTCATCTTTTTAGAGTAGTTTATAAAAAATAATGATCCTCGTTTACATGACCAGTTTACCTTCGTCCAGCGGCTAAAAACAGCTGCTCAGTTGGAACAAATGTCCACAAATGCTGCTGCAGCAGCTAAATCAGTCTAAAAAACCTGCCCGTATTTACTGCCACCTCTAAAATGTATTCATCCTTAAGGGCGGAGAGCAAACACACCTGTAACTCCATCTCATTAAACATGGTGGGGCGACCTGGCACTACATCTGATAGTACAGTCCCTGATATGGTGAAATTATTCATGACAATTAATCGATCAATTAAAATAATTTTAAAAAAACAAACAAAAAAACATTCAAGTCAAACATGGAAGAAGTTGACTGATAAAAGCACTGAGCATCAAGTTTTGTATTATCTGTTGTATTCTAGTTGAATTCTGACTTTCTGGTAAAGCCAGATTTCAAAAAACTTTGAAATAGTTGAAACGGTAAACAAGAGAGTAAATCTGTGGATTAATGAGAGAGATTAAATGACAGAGGCACGAGTGTCTCGTCCTAAGAGCTGAAGTGAATGTGGCAGATAATCAATGGATGAAGGCATCAAATAAAGAGTTGTTGTCTAAATCGTTCCACACTGCGGCAGACTGCTGAAAGCTGGTTGAAGTAGAAGCGTGGGGAGAGGCGGCGGCCTGAGACGCTCATCGGTTTGAATAAGGCAAAAAAACAAGTTTAAGGAACTTTAAGATAAGTGATGAGGCCGTATACTTTTCAGGCAAGAGCTGTGCCCCCATGCTTCTTTTGAACGCAGCTTGATCAGCAAGTTTTTACATAAATATTAGCTGCAAAATCCCCCTGCTCCTGATGATCGATGGAAAGATTTGGCACTAAAGGAGCTGTCATTTGTACAGGCGGCAAAGCTTTAGGTCAAAACGCCTTTTTCTGATTCATTTAGAAGTGACTAGATTTGCATGTCTAGTTCATGACTGGGTTGAGATTTTTCTTCATCTTTGTTCAGGAGCTTTAAAGTTCAAGAGCAGAAATGATGTTGCAGCTAAAGAAGCTCAGGTTAGGTGTGAGTCAAGGCTGGCTTTAGTTTGGGATTTTTCAATGAAGCAAATGTGCTTGTTCAGTAAATTTTCACTCATAATAGAGATGCAGACATTTAGTGCAGAGATTAAATTCCACATTTGGAACCCACAGATTGTTGTTGGAGTAAATACATGCATTGATCCATCATGGTGGACAAACTGCAGCTCAGCCCCGACTCTGTGCATCATCTCGTTGTAGGAGGATGGGAAACGAAAATACACACCCAGCTTTACAGATATCATGCCAGAAATCTTGGAAGAAAGCGCCCAGGCTGTATGTGGTGCTGGCTGAGTGGGAGTGTGGCGCCCCCTCCTGTGTGTTATCGGTAGTGCTAGACCCGTCGCCTTCCCTATGCACCTCCATCTGAGATGCCTTCCTCAACTTCCTTCAGTTTGGAAAGAATGGAGGATGGAGAGAGACTTTGAGCGAACCTGCAGACTATCAAGTCTTGAAACTACAGCAGCGTGTCCACCGGGAGCCCGGCTGCACTGATGGAGAGTTTTTAGGTAACACAGCAAGTTGGATTTAACCTTTAACAGAAGCTAAACAGTGCTGTGATTCAGGTTTGCAGCAGTGAGGCTTCTCAAAAGTACAGCTGGCCCCGCTGGACACAGAGGCTGATGCATAAAATCGTATGAGCCAAAAGGTGAACGGAAAAATGTTTTATGACCTCAGGAGGAAAAAATATTTCATTATGTTAATGTTTTATGAAGAAAGCATGTCTGAGTTGTTCATCTATATTTCTTTGCCTTGGTCAGGAGAGACGTTACGGGTGAACAGGGTCAAATGTTTTAACTCAGATATCCCCATGAAACGTCCACCGTTTATTAATCACATTAAGACAGTTATTTATTTTGCATTTTCAGAATTTTTTGTTTAACTATGAAAATGAAGTATTATCTATTTAAATATGCACTGATATTCACCACAACAGAAATCTGAATGTTGAATAAAGTCAGGATCAAAATGCTTGTATTTTTTTTTTTTCTGACATCTTAGAGTCAAAGGTTTTAACAAAAAAATAATTAAGTAATGTTTCAGAGAGTAAAATGTTCTATAAATCAGAGTGAATGATGTATGAACAAGGCGTCCTGTAAAAACCCTCAGAACACAGGACTTAAACTGGAAAATCTGGTGTTCAAAGTGCTGCTCAAGTGGCCATTTGTAGAATAAAGAATGAGAGAATTTTATTTTTTTTTTGACAAAACAGCCTTTAAAAATATTTATTGTAAAAGTTATTACATGTTTACTGGAAGCTACTATTTCAGAGTTTAAAAAAAAAAGTATTTTATTTTACATTAAGACAATGTTTTTTGTATTACAAGTTTCTACAACTTGTATGTTTAAATATGCAAACGACGTATTATCTTATTAATTATGTGTTAATCTGTATATATTTCTGAAAGACAAAATTTAGTAAAAATATCTAAATGCGTATATATTTAGAATGTTTGTTTATGCTGCTCTGGGAACAAAGACATGGTATGAAAGGAAAACATCCCAAAAGTAAAAAGTTGACAATTGCATGTTGTGTGTCAGTGACTTCTATTTTGCTATTTTGGTTTAGTGTGTACGTTCGCATGACAGTAACATAAAAGTACAATTTCCTGGATCTTCTATGAATAGATTTGGTTATTAATAATATATATATATTTGTTTTTTGGGTGGGGGGGAAAGGATACACAGAAGAGGTGTAGAACTTGTGTTTTGGTTTTCCAATTTACAAAAAAAAAATAATAATGTGATTGACAACAACTCCTCCTGGTTTTAATTAGGTTTTATTGTGTTTTCTGTTCCCGTACAGTGTTAGGTAATATTTAATTTGTTTTTTGTCAGTGTGTAGGCAGGAAACCAAACAGCACTTTTTAAAATCTAAAATCACTCGTGATGCATGAGAGCATCCTGTGAAACCTGGTTTTAAAATGTTTCCTGCTGTGGAGACTGATAAATGTCTTCAAGGCTTTCAGGGAAAAGAAAAAGGCAGATACAGAGTAATATTCAGACAAACAGAATCAACTCTGTGTAATAGAACTGGACCCTTTTCATGAGCGATGATTCACTGAGGCAGCAAACTGTTTGTTTTATCTCCTGTAACTCTTTCCAAAACTGTGGCATGGTCCAATTTTCTTCCCGAGAGTCTGAAAATTGTCTTTATATCATTGTGAACCAGAGACAGCAGCCACACACTGACAAGCTTTAAACCAACAGAGAAAAACTCACAAACTGCAAATCTAAACACTACAAAACACAGCAGCGAGTAAGCAGCCTACTCTACTTTCACACAGTGAATCCTTCTGGCTGCAAACTGAGACACTAAATTTATCAGGGAGAGATTTCCTGGAGACGTCAGCTGTCAAATTTGTCTAATTTGCAGTTTTGTGTTTGAAAAAGCTTCACTTTCAACATGTCAAGTCAGAATTTATGTCGTCCTCATACAATAGAAGAAAAGTATTTTTTTTGTTGTTGTTTTTTTAAATGTGAGGTTTACACTTTGGTGCTGAAGGTTCTTTTCAGGACAAAATTGATGCAGATTGTAACAAAGGCAGAAAGAATGTTTGGATTTCTCTTATTTGACAGAAACTCGTGGAAAACTCTCCTGATAAAAACACCATTTCTGATTTAGAGTTTAGTGTAAAAAATCCCAAACAGTGAGGGCAAATGCAACCCAGGAACAAAACACATATTCATTTGTTTGCTGAACTTCTTTCCTGCAGTCTATCTTGTGGTTTTGCATTCACTAAATGCTCCTTTTGTTATCTCAGTTTATCATCTCATCTCTTCCTGTGTCCTTATTTTCTCTCTTGTGACTCTTGTGTGACTCTTTTCTTCCTGAACCTCATCTCTATCAGCTCCTCATCTCCTTCCACACTCTCTTCAGGTCTATTAAATCATGGACAGGTTTCCGTGTTTTCACTCCTTACCTGCGTCTCTTGCCCCCGCTGCTCGAGGCAGGCTTCGGGGTTCTGGTGGAGACGATCTGACAGTGGACGGTGCCCAGCAGCAGCATGAGCCAGATGGCTCCGAACACCTCGGTGGCCGGTATCCCATGAGGCTGAGGGATGCTCACGTACAGGACTGCTGCTGCCACTGTGAGAAATACAGAAGAATGGAATCCATTACAGCAGAGACAGCTTCAGCGCTACTGGTTATACCTGGATTGTGAGCGAACAGCTTTTAAACATTCTGGTTTTAGTTAGTCCTCCAGTTTTACTGCCCTTATCAACCCAGACAAGCCAACTGTACACAACTTGTTTGGCAGGAAATGGTGTCAACTGAAATTATTAAATCACCAGCACACAGACTCAAAATCTCATTTAACTAGATCCAACTGGAATCAAAACGCACATCTCACCTCTTAACATCTATCATTTTTAATGGAATTTACATTTCATGGAAAAGCTTCTAACAAAAGAACTGTGAGGATATTGGTTTGTTTGCTTTAAAAAAAAAACAGACCATACTGTAGAAAAAGATACTTGGGATAATTTATAATTTATATTTGTTAAGTACATTGCTGGAATGTTAATAAACAATGATCCTAAAATTGCTAACTGCAAAACTACCAGCCAGTTTATATAAATTTTTTCCACTCTTGAAAAATCCCCCCACAAATAAACATCTGTCAGGCTGTGGTTCAGACATGATTTGTTTATAATAAAGAGTCATAATTCAAGAGAAATATCTGGGACATGCTTGATGCCAGAGCGGTTTAAGGCACCACGTACGTTCTACATCTCGTCAACCACACCTGCATGAAATTCTAGATCTCTGGGCCGAAGCTTCTGGGACTTTCCGTAAAATGAACTGAACAGCTGAACTGTGGTGAATCTAACCACATCGACAAACGTTTAAACATCTACATCTATTGGTGCAGTATTAATTTAAACCAGCCTAAACAGGTCAACGGCCACCTGGAGGCTGTAAAGAGGTTGAATAAATCTTGTAGTGAGTCTGAGTGCAGGCGTCACTCTTTTGACCGGAGTGCATTTCTAGCGGACTTGCACCTACATGCAGAGTGCGTTAAATGTCACTCTCTCTTTGGCAAAGACACCTCAAGATATTTTCCACAGATATTTTCACATTGAGAGAACATTGAACTTAAATTCATCAAGAGATCAAAACACAACTCCAGTGGGATGCTTGTGTTGCCTTGTGTGCACTAGATGTTCAACTAAGCAGCATGTTAGCTTTAGGATGTGGACAAGATGGCACTCTGAGGTGGTGTTTGTCTTCATTTTGTTATCTCTGTCCTCTTGTGGTCAAAATGACTTGATACACTTAAAGCTGCCTTAGTGTAGTGTGAAATCACCATGAAGGTGTGTGTGTGTGTTTTATGTAGTATGTGGAGGAAGTGAGCAGGAAGGGTGGAGGCAGAGATGAAAAGTAACAGCGTTTTCTTCTGAGCAGAAAAGGGCAACATGATGTAGGAGGTGGAAAACACTGCTCAGTGGTCTTGAAAGTGTTTGTGCAGCGAGTGTGTGCGGCTCTGTGGGCGTAGACTGGGAGTACTCCATGTTAGCAGGACACGGTGCACTGTATGGGTATTTTAAGAAAAACAGACTCTGTGCAAGGCAGCAGCTGCTCAACAGCTTGTGAACCCGGTTTTCTTCTGACAGAATTAAACATACAGTGAGGATCGGGTTAGTTTAGGCACCGATCAGTCAGGTTGGAAATGATGATGATGGAAGTGGCCTCTCGGATCTACTGAACCTCATTAGACTAGACTACAACTGTTTATTCCACCTGTAGAACCGTTTACTGAGATGTAACATGAACTTTATAATCACTTCATTCAAACAAAGGTTTACAAAACTGCACACAGTGTCAGTTTAGTACTTACTTACTTAGAACTGCAATAGTTTTTCTGACATTTGGTTGAGGATGATCAATAAAGTAAGAATTTCATTGCACAGTCTGACCGTCGAGTTTTCTGTACATATGATAATAAACCTCTTGAATCTAGAGCTGTGATGATTATTCAATTAGTTGCCAACTATTTTGATAATTAATCAGGTTGAGTATTTAATTTTTTTAAAGTCTGAATACTCTGATTCCAGCTTCTTAAATGTGACTAACTTCTGGTTTCCTTCCTCCTCTAAAACAGAAAACAGAACATCATCAACTTGTGAACAAAACAAGACATTTGAAGACGTCACCGTGAGTTTTGGGAAACACCCTTTTCACTATTTTCCGGTATTTTACAGAGCAAACAATAAATCGAAAAAGAACTCAACAAAGAAAATAATCGTTAGTTGCAGCCTTACATTAGATACTATTCAAACTAGGAACTGCAGACACAAAATTAAGCTCAGCAGGATTTTTGTAACAATAAGACCTATTTTTAATATTATCTAAACAGATTTTGAGGAGAAATGTGACATTCCCACCACAGACGCCATATTTTTCCAGTCTGACAAAGCTCACATTGAGGTCTTACTAAAGAAAACAACACTGATGTCCGTCTCCAGTCAGAAGCACATTTGCACACACTCTCAGACCAACCTTGCAGCAGATAGAGAGCCAGCAATAAGAGGAAAATGGCTCTGGAGGTGACCTGGATCCACCATCGGTAAAAGAAGGGGAAGAAGACGACTCTGACGATGCCCTTCCTAGTCAGTGACGTCCACGGACTCTCAGGTTTGGCCTTGGCAAACGCCGAACCTGAGAGAAAGAGAATAAAAACACACACTCGCTTTAATGAGAACTAATTAAAGAAAAAGCAGCAGAACAGCTCATCACTTAATACATCCTGGAGAGACTTTTGTTGTTTCTTTATCTCTTCCTCCATCCATCCCCTCGATCTGTTTATCTCCTCTCTGCCTTCATTTCTGTCTTGATTATCTCCCTCACAATGAGGATAAAATTGACTGCGCTGATGAATAATTGAGAGCGAGATCAATATGAGACAGGCACCAAGAGATGAGAGCAGAGATAAAGAGATGACGGCACACACAGCGAGGATCAACAGTGACAGGAGGTTGGCTCGGAGACGCTGGCATCTCAGGTTCATGTGTGTGTGTTTTATGTGTTTGTCACTGAGCAGTGCATCTGTGGAGTTTGGCTTAAGCAGAAAGCCTGTCTCATATCTAATCTAATTAGCCTGATGGAACGGAAGTCAGTTTTGCTTTTCTCACCTCTAACCAAGTCCACATCTATGAGATCTGGTTTGACATGTCCCGTCTTCTTTGGCTTGTTCCTCAAGCCCTGCAGGGGGAGACAAAGAGTCACACAGTCAAAGCCAGACAAAGACATTTAAAGACATTTTTATGACACATGTCTGCAGACTTCTCGTGCACTTTATGCCTTCATAAACACACATGCGTTCAGTGTTTGAGGAGGCACACCGTGCAGCTACTGGCTCTACTCTATTCACCAGCACACGCAGCTACTCACATCTAGTAGCTCACTCTAGAAAACCAAAGTCTACACTTCAGTGTGTTACATCAGGTCAAATTCTGAGACTTTTGTGCTGCTTTGTATTTAGATGACTATCCCCAAAGTTCAGTCCCTGAAACCAACGGTGTGCTGCAGCTCTTATTCATTCTGATGGCTGCAGTTAAAGTCGGTGCTTTGTTCAGTTTATGACCCTGGGAATAACTCTCCCCTGTGGCACGCTGCCTTCCTGTGCCAGTCTGTCACTTCCTCCTATGATGCATACACTTTGTGTGTGTGTGTGTGTGTGTGTGTGTGTGTGTGTGTGTGTGTGTGTGTGCACTCCATCAGTTGTGATGACAAACTGTACCAAGACTTTATGAGTGGCTGTAAGTTATGAAATTCACATGAATGTCGCGCATGGTAGTCTGTCTGTCACACAAACACTGAACACAGTTTAAAAGAGTTAAAGTGTGTGTGTGTGTGTGTGTGTCTGTTTGTGTGTCTGTGTGTGTGTCTGTGTGTGTGTGTTAAGCTACAGTGGTGAGGAGTCTTATATTTGTTTGGTTTTATTGGAGGTTTCATATCCATGGTTTGGGGTAAACAGCTGTGACTACGGTGCTGTATGTACAACGAGGATGAAAACACAAACATCCTTCGAGGATATTTAATGCGGGAACATTTTTGAAACTATTTTCATGTTTATGATTTTATGTGTGATCACTTCATTTCAGTCTATATTCTGCACACCTTAAATCTGTCATGTTGTTGTCTGCTGCAACATTTTTCAGCCCGTAGCTGTTCTGGGAGCTTTAATCCTGTGTGCGGATCCATTTTCTCTTATTTTCTTGAAAGGTTCCTTCAACTCTCTGAACTCTAAAATCCGCTAGTGGGTTTGAAAGGCATGTTTACAAAAAACAACCACAATTACACCATTTATCAGAGCCAGAAACTGTAAAAGCAGAAGGAATTCTCGGATTTTCATCCTTCTGACAGTCCTTGAACTACTCATCTGTGATGTGCTGTCGCCTCTGCTAACCAAATCTCAAAAACATAATCAAAAGGAAATAGTTTGACAGATTCGGTCCACAGAAATTACATTTTTTCCCCATTGCAGTTTTGATTTGAAATCTATTAACAGTTCAGCCCTATAGTCCTGCTAACTTATACTTTTTTTCTTACATTTCCTGAAATCAGGTATTTGTCAGCAATATTTGAATTGAAAAATACTTTCATCGTCACTAAAGAAGTAGAGGAGAGTGTATCTGAACAAGTCCTTTCAAGTCTTTGAACTTCTGCATACTTTAAAGTGAGTCACATCCAAAAGCGCTGAGAAATACTCCACAAAGCCGTCCACTTGAATCTGCCTGGCTCATGCTAATATTTACATACCGACCAATCAAGCTGCGCGTTATCAGTCAGTGGTCTGATATGGAGGCTCTTATCTTTAAATAGCACAACCAACGAGCTAATAAGCTGTGTGTCCGTGAGAGAGATGGGAAAGTGTATAAGAGCAGCAGACACTGAGTCTGTGTGTGTGAAGGACTAAAAGAAGCTGATCAATAGACTCCTCTTGGCAGCAGATTTACTGCAGAGGTAAAGTCCTTCACAAGCATCTCGGCCGGCCGCAGCGCTCTTATCTCTGTGCTATTCATAGCCGCCGCTTATCTTCTTGAACTACATGTTGCTTCAGTGACTGATTGGTACACTATGTATAAATACCAGTCGATTATTTAAACCGTTGGTACCACATCTGAAGAAAAACGATCACTCTTTGCTCTTTACATTCTCTAGTAAAGGCTGCTTGTCACATTGCTTTATTCTTTTATTTGCCACACACACATAGGCACTTAGATGTTGAAATGTATTTCGACAGTGCCATTTTCAACTTTAAAGCAAAATATAATGTAGGTTGTTGTTTATACCAGCAGGTGGCGACGAGTTTTTTCCTACGGAGGTTTTTACTGTCCTGCTCTGATAAACCAAATAAATATGTCTCAACCAGTAAACAGCATCTGTGAGAGCGAGTTTGTCTTTAGGGGTTAAGTTATTAGACTTAAAACGTTTCTAAAGAATGAATTGCTTTGTGTAAGAGAGAGGCTTTAGCCCAGTGATGAAAAAAAAAAAAAAGGGATGCTACAAGTATTTTTGCTCAAGATGAAAATGTAAACATAAGAGTCAGGTTTTACAAGACAAGGTCTATTTTGGCTCTGGATTATGCAGAGCTGGACTTATCAGGTATACAGGGGAAATCACAAATCTGATCCCCAGTTAAGACAAGAATTCAAGAGCAGCTGTGTGTTCTCTGTAATAATGTTGGACGTGGTCTTACTGCTAAATATAGAACCACCGTCGCACATCAAACAGTTTCGGCAGATTTATGAGAGCGACTGGTTCGGTTTTCACGAGGCTATAAACAGTATAATTAACACTTTACGGGGGTGAGGAGGTGAAACGTGTATCTATATTATACTATCTTTACCACTCTGCCGCAGATACACACTCTGCTAAACCATCAACGTGTGTGTGTGTGTGTGTGTGTGTGGGTGTGTGTGTGTGTGTGTGTGTGAGCCCATTAAAGAGAGTGTTTTTCGCCTCTCTGTTTACAGGATAAAAAGGTACCGTACAAGGGAAAGAAGGAGATAGAAGCAGAGATGTGGCACAAACTAAAAGCCTCTCAACATTAATTCCATGCAATTTTTTTTATAACTTCTGTCATTTTGATTAACTCCTAACAATCCAAAACTACATGCAAATCCTGCCTCATCAAGCAGCACCATTATTAGGATGCTGACCTCTCATTTGGGAATGTTGGATGTATGAGAATCTCTCATAAAAGCTGAGAAGGCAGACATGAAGTTGTTTCATTTGAAGGTCACAGCAGACACACTGCAGTGTCACATCAACCTCTAGTTTAAGCCCTCAAGTGATACCTGGACGCTCTGCATAATGTCGACTATAATGTATCCTAATAGGCATTAAATCAGCCTGATTCCTGCTGTTAAAGGAGCAGTAAAAGGTAAACTTCAAAGACAGGGTGAAGCTGCTGATTCTGGGTGGTAGAGCAAGACGGCATGACAGTAGTCCTACTAGTCAGAGTCCACTTATAGTTTCATCTCATCTTCCTGATGTTTTATATTGATCAGTTACCAGATTTCACTCAGGTTTCTATTTTACATTTTTGCTTTTATAGTTCCACCTTTTTTACTCCATCCAATATGTGTTACCTTAGCTATTCTGTCACACGGCTGTTTTGCTTGCACGTCTTCATCCTTGTCACTCCCTCCATTCATTCATACACAGTACTACATGTTATTCATTTTGTGTCTTCTTTCTCTAATAGTTGGTCCTATTTCCAAGGATTTTTGGGCCTGGAGCTGCATGTGTCTGATCTGCATCAACAACCTGTTCAGCGTTTGTTCAATTGTTTGCTATTTGTTTGTCTCTGCTTTCCTGTTCTCTCTCCCCTTTACCCCTCGGTGGCTGACCTCTGTGAGCCTGGTCCTGCTGGAGGTCACTTCAGCATCACAGGGTTGAGTTTTGATGCATTTTGTATGGTCTTATCTTTAATTTGTAAATTAGTCAGGTACTTCTCCATGACCAATATTCCTGTAGGGTCTTAACCCAAGTATTTAAATTATTCTGGTAAATGTGTATTTTATATAATTCTGCATAAATCACACTGCAGGCGTCCTAACTTACTTGTAAAGTAAATTTGCAACTCAAATCTTATTTCTCTATTAAAAAGCACTTTGGCTCAACAGCTGTAGTTTTAAATGTGCCGTATAATGGTGACATGATTTGACAGTGTTCTTGTGATCATGAGTTTTTGTAACAAGATAAAATATGCAACAAAGAAAAGCAAAGGCTGTTGATTTTTGACCCACATTTTGGGCCAGGTTGAAATGCAGAAATGCAGTCGTGACACATTTTGTCTTTCGAGAATCTTTGATCTGAGCTAAGCTTCCAGCATTCTGTGTCACTTCAAGGCTTACTGCTGTGATTTCTTCAATCATAGAAAGACCTGTCTGGTGCCACATTGATCTCATGACTCATGCCACTTTAATTGTGTTCACACAGACGACTCAGTTTCCCAATTTGTTTTCTTTTGCTGTAGTTAAACTTTCAGCGAAAACCGTCTTCCTGCAGCAACAAAGCAGCGTTGCATCATTGTGGGGTTAATGAACACACCAGGATCTGTCAGCTCAACTCAAACCAAACAATCAGGGTCTAGAAGTTTACAGCTGTGGGTGAGCACACGTGCACTGTGGGACGACAAGAGGGACGTCCTCGTTGCTGTATACTCACCAGAGAAATAAACTGGAGAGAGGAGGAGGAGGAAAAGACGGATGGAGGAGAACGGAGGAGGATGGAGGTGAAGAGAGGGGAAGATGGGCAAGCGACGCCCAGCCAGGAGGGCAGAGAGCAAAGGGTTAAAAGAAAACACTGCAAAAGAACTGGCGGCATCGTGAGAGATAACAAATAAACAGAATGAAAAGGAAGAAGAGAGCGAGGCGGAGGAGTGAAAGTCAAAGAAAGGACAAAAAGATAACAACTTGCCAAAGGGGGGGGAAAAAAAGAGAAAGCCGAGACATTTAGAGTAAACACAGCGCAGAAAGAAAAACAGGAAAATGAAACGAGAGTCAACAGTGAAAGAACAGAAAACATGGAGGTGTGGAGCAAACAAACAATGAATCAAACGCACCTTTATTTCTCTCTGCTCCACGGATTTCTCCCATATCTGTTGGTCGTAGGCGCCAATCTGGAACAAATGCACAAAGGATTAATAATGAATGATGGAAGGAGAGCTGCAGTAAACAGAAACTAGGTACAAGGTTTTAGCAACTAGACGCTTTGCACACAGGAAAAGGAGAAATGATATAAACCACAATAGGCGTCACTGACACACAACAAAGCTGCAGTATTGCTCAACAACTTTCAAACTGCTGAGTAACGAGGAGTCAGTGGACAAACCGTTTTCCCCTGAAAATATAACAATGTCATGTCGCCGCCGTCTCTCCATGAAATCCAAATTAACTGCCAACGCCCTGTCATCTTTTCAGCTGCATCACCGCCATTATTTAAAGCCTGATTATATCCCCACAACAACAGATTTCCAGAAGTCTGCAGAGACTGATAATTATGGGTAGAGTTTTGTTTTGTGTGGGAGTTCAGGATTTAAGACTCTTGCTTCACAATTGGAACTGTCATGATCTCGTAAAACAAGCTGGATTTTTAATGCAGCGATCTGGATAAATCGCAAATGACTCATTAAATGCAACGTGACACGGTGGCTTAGGGCACAGGGCTGCATGGAGAACTCTGTTTAAGCAAGATGGAACTGTAAAGATGTCTGCAAACTCAGTAATCTGTGTTTTTGCCCCTATTTCTTTAAATTTTCCACTTTAATGTACTATAACTGTTGAGATTATTCAGCATAATTGATGATGATGTTGCTGAAAAAGCGTGAACATCAACATTTTAAACTAATGTTCAAATGCTTCAACAGGTAAATGTGTGTTTTGTGTAGTTTTGTTGGATTCTTAACCCTAGTATTTAAACGTGTTTGAGTAAATTTGGAATGCTAGTCTTTGCTCTCTACAGGAGAGTGGTTGCTTGAAACGTGCTGTACAAATAACGGTGAGTCGACCTGGCTTAAAATACCAAGAAAAAAAAAATCTTGCACAGACCTATATACAAAGACTAAAACAATAACTGCACAAATGCATGACACAAACAGCAGAACCAGCTCCTCAGGACATGACTCAATAGTGCAGCTTCATCTAAAGGATAAGCGACACTCCTTTGAGGACAACAATGTTCACACTGTGGACAGAGAAGACTGATTGTTTGAGATGGGAGTGAAGGAAATCATCTATGTTAAAGTGGGACAGCCATCTTCAAACTGAGGAGGGGGCGACCACACCATTTAGCAGGTACTCGAGAAAGATTCCCAACTACTCACAGCTCGTGTCATGCAAGGCTTGGGTCATTAATGGACCATTAGCCGAGTGATTTGAAGGTCACCATAGACATCTGAGACTCCCCATTAGTCAGTTACAGCTGAAGATGCCTCAGAGGTGAAACGTCTTCAATAACCAAAGAAAAATCCAATTGCCCTCTAAAAAAAGCTCTTTGGATTACCAAGACGTGGATGATTGAGAATCTACACAGACATTACATCAGTCATTGTTGGTACCAGAGTCTGACGTAGTTCAGTGTAAAAGTTTCGAAAGACCCGGTGCTACAAAAGTATGAGAGTAGTTATCGCAGAACAAAAAGATGGTTTGTACACTGCAGAGTTTTCATGGCAGAACACAGGAGCATCACCTGAAAGAAAAACCAGGTGCAGTTCTGGAAGATGCACCTCCAGTGTTATCTATTAATTAGTAGCTTTTCACTAACTTTTGTCTTTTCAGCAGCTAAACACACTCATCAAGCTCAAAACTCAAAAATAAATGAACCTTAAAGAATTTGTCAGGCAGCTTTTTTGGAACACAAACAATTGTTTAGATAAAGTGACAAATCAGTAAAACAGTCGACAGAATAATCAACGGAAAAATAGTTTTTAGTGGCAGTATTGATATATGTCCTTTAAGTTAACTGTAATTTTATTCCACATTATTTAACAGTATTAAATATTCTTGACCAGCTGTTTACAAGTCCTCATCTGGGCCACATGTTTTATATGTTTACACCGAGTTAACTCAAGACTTATGTGTCATTTTATACACATAGCCTCAAAATTCTGCCATTTGTTTACCATTTTTTCATTCTACATAACATCCTCAGTACCACTCCCACACCTTCATACACTTCCTGTATACATTTCTACTGCATCTACCAAATAATAGCAAAAATTAGAAAAGCAAACCACAATTTTTAAATACATGAATGTGAATGAAACACAAAAATATACAGATAAGATGAAGTGCCAGAACAGACTTGGTCACCAAAGACAATACAAGATAGATGCAGTAGTTCACGCCTATAAATGCTGGTCTACTGTGGAGTTTCTGTTGACTGGTAGTGCAGCAGGGACAGACTTTCAAAAGCAGTTGCAAGTCACATCCGACTAGAGATTCTATCTTATTCCACCGATAAAGTCTTGGTACAAGGTTGCCAACAGAAGCAGCAAAGAAGACTGCTGGCACGTAAACAGGGGTGCAGGATTGGCTTTAGAAATATGTCATCTTTGAGCAACTCTAGCAAAATGCAATAAAAGTGAGTTTAAAGAAGGTTTGACTGCACAGTGTGGAGTCAAAGATGTGAGTATACAAACAACACTTCTGCTCAATACATCACACCCGAGGAAGTACCCACCAAACACAAACACAGTGTCTCTACAGTATGACTCTTTTTTCACTGTCTCTTTTTCTTTACTTTCTCTAAAGTGGAGTTAAGAACCTGTGAAACTGGTCCAAAAGGTCAGGTTCAGCTGGAGTGCACTTTACAAGAAACCTCCCCGACAATATGATCTAGTCCTGCACGCAGTATTAATCAATGTCACACACACTCGTGAAGATGGGGAGGTTGTGACTCTGGGGAAATGTATGCAGCTCCACCTGCCACTGTCACAGGGATCAGAGGATCAATAGACCTGCAGGGAGTGTGCATCAGGGTGATACACACTTATGGAGGTCGATGATGACAACACATGCAAGCAGTGTGCTGGACAGAAGAAAACAGCAGACTTCTGTTACCACGAGATATTTTTGTACCTTTTCCAGACATCTGACCTGGGAACACTTATAAAAGAACAAAACGAACACAATCCAAGGTCATACTGCGCTAATTTCACCCAGCCTGGGTTGCCAGTTTCTTATGTGTCCTGCTTTTAAATCCACAGTTAGCAGATAAAATTCTGTCTGTAGAAAGTAAAAGGGGAAAAATGAGGCTAAAGATTCACAATTTAGTTGCTTTTTTTTGTGTGTGTGTTTGAGAGACATAAGAGAATCAGCTGATGACCTGACCGCAGCAGATAAGCGTAGTCATGTGAGCGTATGAGCCTCCAAGGCATCGAGTCTGGGTCGCCCCACAAGCTCGCCAGTGGAAACTCTGCATCTTTAATGAGGCTTCATTAAACATGGATGGAAAGAAAGGATGAGAGAGGTCAAAGACGAGGAAGGAAGAATATGGAGAGAGACAGAAAAAGAGCAAATAGAAGGTGATTTTAAGAACTGAGGATGGAAGGAAAGTGTCTATAAAGAAGGTTAAAGAGATTCTTTTGTTCTTTCTCTCTCAATCAAAGGTTTTTCTGGGGAATTTGCACATTAACAATAATATGGATGAAGGAAAATTTGAGGTTTTTTTTAATGTTATTTTTTTTAAATGTCTGCAAAACAATATCGCTCTGTATAGATATCTTTTGGTAAATGAAAATTTCTGCAATCAGACTTCTTGATAGTTCCAAAAAACTTGATGTTAAACATAATCTCAGAAGAACATGCTCAGTATTTGCCCTCCTACTCGGTGCACTCTGATCTCCCTCTGTCAACGACCAGATACCAGGCTAAGATGTGGGTCAGACAGTGCGTCACATTGTCCCATATAACATGCCGACTTTAAAATACTGATTTCTACACTGGCATGTGACTGTAATGACACCACTGTCCTACAGGTCACACACCAGGACGCAGATAATTACTGATTTCCTCAGTAAACCACAGTGAACCTTATTTGACTGAAGCTTTCTGAGAATTTCCCAAAGCACATCGTTGACGAGCATCTATAACTCGATTTGTTTTTTCTGGAAGCAGCTGAGTTCTGTGAGGTTGTTCATGTGGTTGGATATTTTTTGAAGCTGCCCTGGTTGAGAAAACCAAACAGCAAGAGTTGCACAAAGAAAGACTGTATTATTCACAAAAGGCCTTGGGCTACCATGAAACCTTGGCCAACCTGAAACAAGTCAGGACTGTGATCTTTCAAGAAAAAAATCTGTTTAGAGGATAATGATAATAATTAAATATTATGCCCAGGCCACATGAGCTTACAAGACACAAAGAACAACTTTAAACCAGGTACAATTTTTAATGAAACAATGATACAAACTTATAACTAATACATTTTATGTAGCTGGAACCAATCAGAGAAAAAAGCCTCCTACAGAAGATTTTACAATGTCATCAAAAGAGCGGCTGACCAATTCAGCGAAATGTATATCAAATTTGTAATTACAGACAAATGCAACATCCAAATCGCAGGAACTGCAATTTTTTGATGAAGTTAAAAATGTCACAACGCACCATTTCAAATGAACCACTGTGGTGCTACAGAGACACTCGGCCTAAAAATCACATTCTCCAGATTTCAAGAAACTTGCTTGTTTGATTCACACTGCAGCAAAAGTCACATCACATCATTTTTATATCTTTTTTTTTTTTGTGAAAAACAAAAGTAACAATGACCGGTCCTGCTGAAATTGTAATTCATATCGCAGCATCTGTTAAAATAATCACCATATGGTATATATTTTTTTTCATATTAAGCTCCACAACAGCAGCAGCAGCAGCGTCTCTAAAAATAAAACTTAAAAACCTCACAATTTAATTTGTTATTCTATCTATACCATGTTTAAAACCACAAAGAAATGATCCTTTAATTCATCATAAACATAATAAATACAGGACAATTACTCTCCTTCCACTTCTCTTGGCTGTTCTGCCTTTCAAACTCATTTTGAGAACCTCAGTCGCTCACAGGGCAGAACAAGTAATTAATTTAAAATCAAAAAACTATTTGAAACATGCAATCAACAAATGG